TTCTTGATTTGCTGCCTTACTCTAGGAGAAGGCACATATCTTGTAATAATGTTTGTAATTGTCATTTCTTACTTTACATCCAGGCTGGGCCACCTACCATTCTGGGCTACCCATACTGGTCAGCCTTGTTTCAAATGCCCTTAGCAAATTCAGAGTTTTGCTAAGCAATACTGTTCCATCTGGCTTAGCTTACTGCTTGGGAGGGAGGAAAGAGAAACAACAAGGGGGACACACACACACACAAATATTGCCTATTCTGCTTTACTGTTACATATAAGTAATGTGCCCCCCCTGCAACCTAAGCTACAGCTCCCATCGTCCATGACCATTGACCATAGATGTTGGTGGTGTTATCTTCAGACCATTTGGAAATACTTGATTGGGGTAAACTAAACTAAAGACGTTCAGGTGCCTGGAATTAGAGAGCCAATCCGATTTGGGGTTTTGGGGGAAGGAAGGGCATTTATTTAAAAAAATTCAAATGACCAATAAGTTTTGAATGAAACATGTGATTCTTTTTGCTGTGCTGGCACAGGTGTTTTCCTGAATTGACTGCAACCTAGCTGTTGGCATCTTCGGTGCAGTACTTTAATTAAGAATTAAATTGGCAACTCTGCAATCCAGTTTTGTCAGTTAAGTGCATTTGTAAATGTCAATCTGCTGCTGTTTGAAGGCTAGTGTTTCTTGGGAAACCAAGTATCCAGAAAACCCAGCCATGGAGTTGGAAACTCCCATCCTCCCAAACCTGCTTTAATTTGCTTGCTGCACACTTTAAATCTTTTTATTATCTTTATTCCCTCTTCCACTATTATTATGTCCATCAGATTTTGCTGCAGTGCTTCCTACCTGCTGTTTAGACATTCTGCATTTGTCAAACTACCCTAGTGATGTTTAGATTACATTATGTCGATAGCAATGAGTGTGGATCTTTTGTTTACAACACAGATGTTTTTCAGATATTTTCATAATCGGTGAAAGTTGATATGTCTGCTAAAGTAGTCCCAAAAGACCGTCAAAGAGAACTGTGGAAGAATTTGATGCTCTTCTTTGATATCTGGCACTTATTTTAACAAGCATCTGATTATCATGTGCATTGGTTTTCATAATGCTACAGTGATCCTAATATTTTATTCCTAATGACATTGTATATAGAGCTGCTTGTGGTAACAGGCGCCATTTAATGTACAGGCTGTGAAGTTTATTGTGGTTACTGATTATTAAACTAGTTGCATAAAGAGACAAGATTCTTTGGGGAATTTTTAATTTTTGTCATTGTGATCCTGAATCATTTGGTAAAATAGCTGACTGATAGGATTTATTTAATACTGCTATTTTCCATAAATATGAGGGCTATGTGGTACTTCACTTTCAAAGGGAAAAAATAATTTGGATTAAATGGCATCACCTATTGTCAATAACTTAAAGTTGTGGCATTTTCCCCCCAGAATTATATTTTACTGTATGTTTTGTTTTAAATATCTGATAGCATGTACTATGTGATATACCTCTCCTTCCATTCCCCCACCTCCGTAATCTGAGACATATTTTTTTCTTTGACTCTGAAGTGCTAAATTGTAATGGGCACCTATAGCAATTCTCAGTAGTGTTTCTCAGAGGACGTTGTGAAAGGAAAATGTTAATTAACTAACTCACAGACACTGTTGACTTGCAGATAGGGCCTTCTGGGATGTTTGGAATTGCTGTGTTTACTATGCTAAATTGTGACCTTTGGGAGGCTGCATAAGTCGTGTTCTGAAAAGCAATGGCATGCTGGCAGCTATTTGTATGAGGGAGTAGTGGTGCATCAAAAACAACAAGGTTCCTTCAAGATATAAAGCATGCCAACTTAATGCAGGTGTATGAATAACAATTTGCCTTGTGAGATTTTTCTCCACATTTAGATATGCAAGGTGTTAGCGGCTTTAGGTTTTTCCCCTGAGCAATCAAGCAGAAATATTTTATAAATCCTCTTTGTTATCTGAGAAACAGGTGTGGGCCGTGGTATATGAGCATTTTTGCTGCCTTTCGGTTGAAAGAAGGGAATCAAAAGTTTTATTATTTTGAAGCAGGCCTCAAACAGCTGCTCAGTTTTCAGCTGATACAAGGGCTTTGGACTCAATGAGCAGGAATTGTTAGAAGGGTTATCAGGTTTTTTTTTGTTTTTTTAGAAAAATTCTGAATGCTTCCCTCAAAACAATTTGCCTGCCCTCAGCAACACAGGTAGTCCTCGACTTATAATAGTTCATTTAGTGACCTTTCAAAGTTATAAACGACACTAAAAAAAGTGACTTATGGTCATTTTCACACATAATGACCATTGCAGTAGCCCCATAATCACGGGATCAAAATTTGGGTGCTTGGCAAACGATTCATATTTATGACAGTTGCAATGTCCTGGGTTCATGTGATCGCCTTTTGTGGCGTTCCTACAAGCAAAGTCAATGGGAAACCAGATTCATTTAATAACTGTGTTACTAACTTAACAGCTGCAGTGATTTGCTTAACAACTGTGGCACAAAAGGTTGCAAAATGGGGCAAAAGTCACTTAACAAATGTTTCACTTAGCCACAAAAATGTTGGGCTCAGTTATGGTCGTAAGTTGAGGAATACATTGCCGGGTGCTGCTGCAGATGGAGCAGAGTGATATATATAGGCAGTCCTCAAAACCATTCATTTTACGGCCATTTGAAGTTACTATGGCACTGAAAAAGTGACATATGACTGGTCCTTGCATTTACAACTGTCGCAGCATCCCCACAGTCATGTGATCAAACCTTGGATGCTTGACAACCGGCATCTATTTATGATAGTTGCAGCATCCCAAGGTCATGTGATTGCCATTTGCGACCTTCCCAGGGTGCTTCTGACAAGCAGTCCAGTGGGGAACCTGGATTCACTTAAATGTCTGCATGATTTATTTAATGACTACAACAAAAAGAAAGGTTGTAAAGTTGGGCATGACTCACCTAACAAACATATTGCTTAGTGGTGGAAGTTCAGGTCTCAGTTGTAGTAGTAAATCAAGGACTACCGTAATTCCATTGTTTTTCTATAACTCAATCTAACGGACTTCCTTTTATAGCGAGTTTATTTTTCAGTTCTTTGGACTCTGTTAGGGATCTGATTAAAGTGGATGAGGCATGCTTTGAAATGAAATTGCATTGTGTACCAGAAAATAGAAATATAAAAGCCATTCTGAATTTGCTTTACTTCTGATATTCACGTAAGTGAAGTTTTCTGCATAAATAACAAAATAAATTAGTAACAAAATAACGGTTAATACACAAGAAAAATATAACACCTGATATTCTGCGTTGGGAATTACATGCTAATATAGTATTGAAGAGATTGTTAGAGCCTCCATTTAGCCATAGATGACGATTGCAAGACAGTGGGCATCTATATTAATCTACTGAGCTTCAATTGCTATTATTTCTAAGTAAGTAGATATAGAATTATAGGCTAAGAGGAATATCAACTAGCTAAATGATTGTTTCTTTAAGATGCTGGTGTTATATTAAAGAACAGAATATTAGTATTTTATTAATTGATGTTAATTAATTAGCAATTTATTAAGAACAACAATTTGTTAATTAAAAACAGCAGTTTGTTAATTAATAGAGGACTCAATGACTCAGTGGTTAAAGACACGGAGCTCTCATTACTTGCCCCAGCTCCTACCCACCTAGCAGTTTAAAAACATGCAAATGCGAGTAGATTAATAGGTACCACTTCGGTGAAAAGGTAACAGCGTTCTGTGTGCCTTTTGCATGCTGGTCACATGACCACGGAAAATGTCTTTGGACAATGCTGGCTCCCTTGGCCAAGAAATGGAGATGAGCACCTTGCCCTAGCCTTAGACACAGGGAAACCTTTACCTTTCAATTGCTGTATCTTGCTGAAGATCATTAAAGATGACTTTCTTTGAAGCTTTTGGGAATTCTCAGTTTAGAGTACTCAGTTCCTATCTAATCTTCTATTAAAGCTTGTTAGGGAAGCTTTGTTGAAGAACACACAGCCTCAACAGAAAAAAGAAACCCAGAAGTTTATAGGAAGCCCGCTTCCCGTTATTCAGGATATTGCTTATAAGCGCTGTGTGCTTAGAGCTCGAAGCATTGTTAGAGACCCCACACACCCACTTCGCCGTCTGTTTTTATTGCTCCCCTCTGGGAAGAGGTTACGAAGAGTTTCTAGAAGGACTACCAGATTCTGTAACAGCTTTGTTCCTTATGCCATCCGTCTGGTAAACTCCCAAGATTTGTTTTTCTTGCCGTATACATGTATACATCCAAACTACTTTGTGTTGTTTCTCAGTGTCAGGGTGGATAAAAATGGATATTTTTTAAAAAAAATAAAACAAATCAGATTTTTTAAAATTTAAATTGGATTTTTTATTTAAATCAGATTTTTTATTTTTATCAAATTTATTTTAATAAACTGCTTCTGGAGTAAAAAAAACTATCTAAAGATATTTTTCTATTTAAGATACATTAATACTTTATTCAGCATGAAATGGAGCTTAGTTGTGTAGCCTGAGACTGTATATTCTGCAATATTGGGACTGTCGGTGAGTCAACAGTGGGTCAGTGGAGGAGACGCTGTAGGACAGATGACAGTGTCTCTTTAAAAATTATGATTTAAATCGAGTTGATTTAAATCAAGCCTTTTTACTAGTGATTTAAATTATGATTTAAATCGTGATTTAAATCGACTTGATTTAAATCAAATCTACCCTGCTCTGTGTCATATAATATATGTGAGTATGTGAATGATCAGCTTTTAAGATTTCAGAAAACAAATAAATACACTGAGAGGAGAAATACCCAAAAGGGAACAGATTCCCACTTAGCTTTTCATAGGTTGGTGGTATAACTTTTAAAAGGGCCTGAGAAACCCCTTCCCAAGTCCCATTCTTTCTGGGTCCTTGACACTTGCTCCTCTAACCATCTTATTATCAATAGGTAATTCTCAATTCTATCCTCTTTTTTATTTCTCTTTAGAGTAAGGCCACCGATGTAGTAACCATCTCTTCCAAATACAAGCAGAAGTATGAGTGCCGACTACCAGCTGCTGCAATGAAGATCCATCAAGACAAAGAGGAGGATCCACAGAGTTACACTGGACTTGGTATCTCAGAACTGCTGAAACCAATGGAAGCGGCTCCGTGCCTTATTAAAGTAACTTTAGGATGGGTTTGAAATTAAGGGGTTTTTGGGAGACTTAGGCACAAACAAAAGACTAGGAAAACATTTACTGGATGGGCTTTGTCAAAGGATCTGCTTTCTCTTATCTCTCCCGGAGATTACTGATAATCTTGATCCCTAATAACACAGAAAACAAGGTCAGTTTAGTAAAAGCTGTCATTATTCTTGATCACATTATAGTAATGTGAAATGCTTTTACAGTCCTTTATTTCCTTAATCTCTCCCAAATCTTTGGGAATAAATCTTTGATGTCGCCTTTTTAAAAAAAATTGACTATTCAAATGAAAAGTTACTTGCCAAGGCCACCCAGTGAATCTGTGCAAGGACCGTACATTTGTTTTCCAATGTCCAAACCCAACAGTAAGTGACTTCACAAATCATGGAAATTTATGCGGCTTATTTGTCCTTGGTAAGCATGCTGTGGAAATGTGACCCTTGGATCTTATTTAGTAAATAGCTTAACACGAAACTAATCATTTCTTCCTTTATGCCAAATTGATAGATCTTTTCTCCACAATTGTTTCTAATTAAGAATTTTGCTTGATATAGGCAGAATTGATCTTTTTTAACTTTTGCTACCAAAAATCATACCATTTAAACAAACTGATGCTGCAATTTACCTATTTTAAAAACTACCTTTACCCATTATTCAGCTCAAGATTGAATATATTGGTTGCATCCTAATGCCAAACTCACTGACATAACTTCATTTCTCCTACTCCAAGTGGAGCTTGACTTTTTAATTCTACAAGTATCTAAAATTTTTCAGCTAGGTTCAGTGCATTATATTTATCTTATTTTTTTACATAGTCTAGCGCAGGGGTGTCAAACTCAAGGCTTGTGGGCCAAATCCACCCACAGGGTGCTTAGATCTGGCCTGCGAGGCCACCCTGGAAACAGCGAAGGACCAGGCCACAGTGCCTCTGCCATTGAAAATGGAACCTCCCAAGCTCCATTTTTGCTGGCAGAGGGTTGCAGAAGGCCATTGCAGTTGGAGCTCATGAGCCCATTATCACTGGCAGAGTGCTCAGGCCACCACAGGCGCCCCCGACATGAGTGACGTCGAACTGGCCACACCAACCCTAGCCCCCCCAAGGTCAAGCACAACCCTGATGCGGCCCTCAATGAAATCGAGTTTTACACCACTGGTCTAGAGTTTTCTGACTGCAGAATTTGGCAATGCTGCTAGTTTAGGGCAGTTTTTCCTAAACTTGATTGGGGACTAACTATTATGGGAGTTGAAGTGAAATGATCAAGAAGGCACCAGGTTTCTGACCTTTGTTTTTAGACGAATTCTGATTGAATTCTCATTTCAGTTGGTTAATTTGATCTTTACTTTCTCCCTTTTCTTGTAGACTAAAGACTGGTGGACATATGAATTCTGCTATGGGAAACACATCCAGCAATACCACATAGAAGGTACTGATCTTCTCCTTTATTGCATTTGTGGTTGAAGTGTAAGGGAATGGTGGTCCAGACTGTAAAATCTAAAATTCATAAATATTCCGCTTTGTTATTAAAATTGGGTGTGTGGTTTCAAGGACTCTTCACAATGGAAGTTGTTTCTTAGACCGTTAATTGCAGAGGTATTTGATCAAATCCAGGACTCCCTCAGCTTGCTTGAATGAAAATATATGCAAACAATTGTGCTTCCACATAGTTGCTAGAATCTTAAAATCTCACTGAGTACTACAACAAGCTTCCATTCTTAGTAAAAACTCTGCTTTTAGGAAAATGAAAGATTGCGAGATCTCTGTTTTGCCTAAGTTTGGAAACATGCATTCTGTAATTGTGGATTTTCGGTTTCTAGAAAGGTGTGTGTGTGGGGGGAAGAAAACTATTGATCAGGATCTTTTTTTGGAAGATGCTGAGTGCAGCCTAATTACATCTGCACAACTGATAAGGCTTAATTTGAATGTTTGCCAATTTATAGTCTTGGTGGTGGAGGAATTGCACAGTCTGTTTGGCATGTTTTCCCTTTTTGCCTCAGGTTGCAGAAACGAAATTTCTTAATCAAGAATCTCAGACTTGATGCATACACAAATAGTTTGCATACACAACAAAACTGCTTGTTTTGTTGCTGCAGGCTAACATGCCTATCATTGGACATGGGATGGGGGAGTCTCTCTTGAGATTCTAGCTTTCAGCTTGCTTACTGACTCTGTAACTCCCCTTATATTTTCCAGAATCTGAAGTCAAAGGTGATATTCTTTATCTTGGGTATTACCAGTCTGCATTTGATTGGGACAATGAAACAGCAAAGGTGGGTGTTTCCCACACCTTTAGTCCCCCCTCCCCCCACGGTCTTGATAAGATATTCCTGAGATTAATATGTAGATCTTAAACACACATTAAGTCTCCTGTCTTCCAACCTCCGTGTTGGAATTAAGTTAGAAGCATTTTGCTTCACTTTTTCTTAGTTTTCCCTTTCTCTCCCTATCTGCCAGTGTTATATGCCTTGGTACCAAAGACTGATCTACTATAGAGAAGCACAGCAGGAGCTATTAAATGCTCTGAATTTCTATTATGTATGTCTCCAAATGAAACAGAGGGTTAAATTCAAGTATTCTAATTGACCATTTCCAGCTTAGTGGAAATTTACCAGTTCTGTAAATTTATGAACTTGATTATACTCTGTGTACTTAAATTGTATACAATCTGTTTTATGGTATCTAAAATAGTATTTTTTTTGCTTTAAATGGATAATTTAAAATTAAAAATCAGTGAAATATAAGATGCATTTATAGCTTGATACTAAATTGTACTGTTTCTATTTTGTAAAAGACCTTAAGGGTAGTGATCTTGAAAGGAGACCAAGAAATATATAATACAAAATAAAGGAGTGAAATCTCCTGTTGTAGGGAGTGGATTGTGCAGCCCAGATATGTTCTTTGTTTAATTTTTCTTTCTTCTGTGGCTGGCTAGGAGGATTGTTGGGTTTCTCATTGGCTACTGCCTCATGATAGAGAGAGCTTGGGGCCAAAGGTTTCCTTCACTGAATGATCTGCAACAAAATGGCTTGGAATCTCTTCAGGTCTTGATGTACCACTGCAAGGATTGCATCCGTATATGCCTTCTAACTTGTTGTATCATGAGGAATCCCCAGTAATCCTGTTCTTCCCAGTAATCCTGTTCTTCCCCTCCCTATTTATTTAGTTTACTTTATTGTCATTGCACATTGTACAACGAAATTAAATGCGATCTTCAGTGTACAATGACAGTTGCATTGCCCAGGTATTTATTTATAGGGGGAAAATGTCCGGACCAAACATAATTTTGTAATGTTGGATTTTCTCCCTTACCAGAGGGACCCCTCTCGTGGAGCACTGTGAAGCCTGTAAGAGCAATTTCTCCTTGAGCCCTGATTTGGGCGACACTTAAATTAGTTAAAAATGTTTTCCCTGTGTCCTGAGAAGCATAATTTCTAATGTTGGATTTTCCCCCTTACCATAGGGAGTCCCCTTGTGGAGTACTGTGAAGCCATTATCACGGCAACTCCATTACGTTGTACAGTAGAAGCTATTTTAAGGCAGTACAGTAGAAGCCATTTTAAGGCACAACAGGCTGTATCTTAAAAGAACTTTGGGATGTCTTACCCCCACAATGTTTGTTTCCAGAGAGTAAGTCACCTGTGTACTAGGTTTGGTTGAAATTGCTTGAAGCATTCCAGAGTTATGCTGGAATTCTCTCTCTCTCTCTCTCTCTCTCTCTCTCTCTCTCACACACACACACAGACAGACAGACAGACAGACAGACAGATAGATAGATAGATAGATTACCCTTGCATATATCTAGGGGACCACAAGAAAAATCTCTTGTGTTTTGCTAGAGACAAATTGCAAGAATTCTTGCGGTGTATCCTCTTCTTTTTTTTTCTAAATAAGTCTGGCTCTAAATAGATTTGTATTTTACATCTATGTAGGGGAGGGGGAAGGTGCCATTAGTTTGAAGCAAATAACTTCTAAATTATGAACCCAGAAATGTGGCCTGAGAGTTTTCTGGTTTTGTTTCTCACCCCAACTGCAGGCATCAAAGCAACACAAGTTGAAGCGGTATCACAGTCAGACCTATGTCAATGGATCCAAGTGTAACCTAAATGGAAAGCCCAGGGAGGCTGAAGTCAGGGTAAGAAGAAAGGGAACTCGTAGTACGGAATTGGGCAGAAAGCTATGGGAGAAGAAGGCTATGTTGCCATTGTCAGAGCAATATTCCCTCTTACATAGGTGTATATCAGTAGTCTGTAGGGCAGACTTGAGAAATTTCAGCTGCCCAGATGATAGCCTAAGACTGTTCATTCGTTGCCTCCACATTTCCCACAAAGGAGAGCACTAGAAGACGACCTCTAGTCACACTGTTGACAAAATAGATGTTTGATTGCTTGTTTGACTGAATGGCTTATTTTTATCCTGTGGTGGCCTTACTTTTTTTCTCAAAGCCCTTCTTTCATTTGTAGTTCTGCATTTCAAGGGGTGGTGGTGGAAAGAACATAATAGGCCACTAAACTAGTGGTTGATTTAGGCTGAAATTCTAACAAGCACAGAATCTCATTTTTACTCTTTTGGAGGGATTTCAGTTCCTTGCTTGCTATTTTCAAAATGAGACGATTCAGCTACTCTTCCTTTTGCTTCCCTTGTCCGCAATTCACGAAAGCAAACTCGGGATATGTTGTGGCCCACCAGTGGCCAGTGGAGCTGGCAGAAGATTTGGACAGTGAGGAGGTTGGGGAGGAACATGGGCCAGTCCTGGAGTCTGGGGAAGGCTCTGATGATGGCTCTGAGTCAGAGGCAGGGAGGGGGCCAGAGCCATATGCCAGATATCAGCTGACTTCAGAGTCAGACACCAGTGAGGCAGACAAACAGCTGGAGCCTGTTCCCAGTGTGCACATTCACAGAGTTGCCAGATGAAGGGAACAGCTAAAGAACAAGGGTCGACTTGGGAGTAAGATCACAGGTGGACGATGGCCCCTCCCAGAGGAAATAAAAGAGGAGCGAAAGGGGAGTGGAGTTTGCAGGAGACAATTAGTTCACTTAATTGGT